CCCATGAACCTCCAAGTAGAGAGTAGTATCCACTTACTATGCCTATGGCCCCTGTTTAAGTCTTCTTATACGATAGGACCGATTTTCGGAGCCTTACTCCGATCATTCACAAGCCTAAACCCTAAACCGTCGCGGGCGGATCAGTCGCAGCCCCCCCCCCCCCCCCCCCCGTTGTCTATACGGGGCCCTAGCAAGCGTCCTCTTATTTATGATCCGTGATCGGAGTCCTCCAGTTTCGGAAATTCACCTAGCAAAGAACGGCACGCAAGAGTGATCACAGCAAAGACCACATTCCAGTTGTTGTTTTCTTGTTGATTTTGGTGGTGGTGGTGCTGGTAGAAGCATTAGCAGGAGCTGTAGCGGTCGCAGTGGCAGAAGCAGTAGCAGGAGACAGGGAGGCTCGTGTTTGTAGGTTCCGAATGTTCGGTACCTCGATCACTGCTCATGTTGACCCGCATGAACCTGTGTTGAACACGCTTAACCCAACCCCGAGATACTGGCACCCGAGATTTGATGCTAAAGCCGAGCTGTTTGTCAGGGCGCAGAGGACCTTGCAGCAAGCCTTGTCAAAGTGGGCGGCACCGCCGTCCGCGAAGGGCTTAGAGAGCACATGAATGGTCAGCACATGCGACATCCTGTTGATTCCTTTGCATGGTCTTAGAGTCTTCGCTTGTCGGCGTGTTGTAGTTTGTGTATAAAGATACGCGTGTATGCCTCTCGGCACGATCAAGTTGCCTATGTGAGCGCGAGCTTCAATAGTCCATGCCTGTAGCCTCGTGGCTTCGCACAGCTCAGCACGGCGCGTGCTTGTGTATGCCACGTTTAAGAACAGATGCGTCATCATTGCGCATTCTCTGCAAACAGGTATAAACAGGTAGTACTTGGAGGTTCAGGGGTAGTTATAAGTGAGGTCAGAAGTAAGGTAACTATAGTTATAACCCATATTCGGGGACGGAAAACCCCAGTTATAACTACCCATGAACCTCCAAGTACACCCCAAGAGCCAGCCCAAGCCGTCAGACACTTCTGGGCCCTTTTTCGATGCTTTCGATGCTTGGAGGTTCATGGGTAGTTATAAGTGGGGTTATAAGTCCCCTAATATAGGTTATAACTATAGTTACCTTCTTATAACCTCACTTATAACTACCCCTGAACCTCCAAGTGATAGTTGCCTGAAAGATTCGCGGGCTTCTTGCATTTTGGGCCCTGCTATTTGGGGCAGGACCCAACAAGTCTCGGAGGATGTGCTGCGTTGCGGGTGCAGCACGGAAGGTTGATTGAAATGAGTGACTTATTCGAAACATTCTTCAGGGTTTAGTGTTTAGGTTTGAAAACTGAGGCCATTCCTTTGGAGCTGAAGCGCGCGGGACCTATTTACCGGCTGTGGGTATTTCGGGTCCTATGTTCGGAAACACCCACCTGACCTAAACTAGAAGAGCCGTGTCAAGCAGTGGGATTCACAGCAACAACAGCAACATCAGTGCGAGCAGTAATTATAGCAATAATCGTCATTATTGTAATAGTTCCAGGGGTCGGACGCACTTGATTCTCTGATGCCACTGCAGGGCATGAGACCCTAAACCCTAAACCCTAAAGGTCCAAGGTGTTGGTACCGGTGGGCTTCTGTGTGGTGCCAGCCTGTTGTATCTGAGCCCTTTGAGCGAAGAGAGGCTGGCACTGAAGAGCCCCCACCATGAAACGGTAAGGCACTGTAGATCTCTTTAATTGCAATGCTTCCTGAGCCTGTCACCGCGTAGCCTACTATCAAGGGGCGGTTGGAAGAGAGTTTTGCGGTTTCATCGTATACCCGTATTAAGGATCCCTCAAGAATGCTCTTCGCATGACCACGCTCGCAAGTCCCTAAACCCTAAACCCTAAACCCTACACCCTAAACAAAAAGCTTTAGGTGATGTTTTCAGGGCATGGTCAGCTTCGGCGCGGGGCGGTCATCCTGGCCTTGTCTTGACTCAGGGAGGGAACCCAAGGAGCCCCACAGGGTTTAGGGTTTAGGGTTTAGGGTTTAGGGTTTAGGGTTTAGGGTTTAGGGTTTAGGGTTTAGGGTTTAGGGTTTAGGGCTCACTATTACTGTTATGATTTAGGGTTTAGGATTAGGGGTTTAGGGTTCAGGGTTTAGGGTTTAGGGCTATGATTATGATTACGATGATGAATATACTAGTTCTTCTTGTGGCCCTATAATCAAGAGCTTTGTAGGAAGGGTGTTGATGGGCTCTGATCATTACGAGGCCTGTATCGGGCCCTCATAAGGGTTTTGTGCAGCTTTCTGAGGAGCCTACTCTACCCCTTCATTTTTTTGCCGGGCTGTTTGGTAAACAGAGTTGGAGGTGGAGGGCTCCTTATCTGTATGCTGGTTACGAGGACGACGCAAGCTTCTTGGGTTTGGGGGAGGTATGCTATGCCTGAGAAGAGTATTGCTTCATGTCGTCTCTGTCAGATTTTGTAACCCTAAACCCTAAACCCTAAACCCTAAACCCTAAACCCTAAACCCCGAACCCTAAACCCTAAACCCTAGACCCTAAACTCAAAACCGAAAGCCCAAGGTTCTAGGGCCCAAAGACCGACTGCTGCGGGGCCGAAAGCCTGGACACCGTGCCTAGTTCTGGTTATCTTGAGTTGCCAGGAGACGTCCGGCAGGAGAAACTGGAGAGGGAGCTCCGTGGCGGCAGATGTCATAGCACGTCAGAGCGGTAGCATCAAGGCTTTTTCAATGCTCTTGTTTGCAGCCTTGTGCACTGTTAAACGTGCTTCTAAATACGGGCTTGGGATGCTTTTAGGGTGCCCTAAACCCTAAACCCTAAACCCTAAACCCTAAACCCTAAACCCTAGTGCGCAGCGGAGCAGGGAACCTCTAACCTTCTTGGGGCCTTAGTACTTCCACCCTAGTTGAGAGTTCCGCTTTCTGCGGGCCAGGGAACCCAGCAGCTGGGTCACAGCTTGGAGGTTTATGGGTAGTTATAAGTGGGGTTATAAGTCCCCTAATATGGGTTATAACCATAGTTACCTTACTTATGACCCCACTTATAACTACCCATGAACCTCCAAGAGGGTATCTCCACGGTTTCTGAAGTGCAAGCCATCCTTGAGGGTTCATGCTGTTAATGTAGGAACCCGATTAAGAAACCCTGGCCCTATAACCCCAAATATATATGGTTTCATAATAAGAACCTTAATAAAGACCTAGGGCTTCTTAATCAGGTTCCTATATTAGGTGTTATGATTCTGCAGGTTCATGATGTCCAACAAAAGTGTTCATTGTGATCAGCATCTTCATGAACATCGGTTGGCTAGTCGCCAACATGTGCATTACCACTCTCTCGCGTTTATTTTATAGGGGGGCGTTAAGTACAGAGATTTGTGCATCAGGGGCTACATGAGCCCTGATGCTTGGAAAGCTGCTCAGAGCGCGGAAGCAGCGCAGTAGCCGAAGTGTTTGTCGTTTGGCTTTCAGTTGACCGCTTCATTTCGGTGTGATGAGACAGAAAGTGACGAAGGGCCCGTAACAAGTACCTCCAGCGTAGCGATGAGAATACCTGCACTTGCACACAAGAATACAGAAAAACTTCGTAACGTAGCTGACCATGATGCATGCAACATGTAAACACAGGTAGTATGAAGACTTAGCAGCCGCAGAAAGGCGCATCAAGGATAAGCCCCTACGTAACAGATGCAGCTGGTTGCAATCCCCGGACATCGAATCGAAGCATTTACGTTTTGGGGTGCCTGGCAAACATATGTCTGTGGTCTTCGATGTTGCAGTAAGGGCACATTTCTTGTCAGGTTCAAGAAGCGCTTGGGCAAGCCTTGCTGCCACACTTGGTCTTGGGGGGAATCTCAAGAGAACTTGACCTTCCTGTTTGGGATTGTTTCGATGTTGATGTCGAGATTGAGATCACGCTCGAGGGTTCTGGAAGGCGGGGCATCGCTAGGTAGCCAAGTACAACGGTTCTCTGCAGAAGTACCCGCAACTGTTGGAGGCCTCATGAACACAAAATAAGTTGCTTCCTTGAGTCCCAGAACATGCTCTAGAACCATTCGGACAAGGTCCCCGGATTGTTCATCTCCCTCTTCTTGGAAAAGCCTAAGCCGAAGATCACCCCGAGAGTTTTGACAGCAGGAACCTGATTTGGAATAAAGCGTGGCCCAGCTAAACCCTGCGATCCTGACTTGTAAACTCCATGCTACGCCGGGTGAGGGATTTCGAGAGCAACAGGGTTTTTGCAGAGCTATCACGGTTTCATAAGGTTGGGTTTAGGACTTGAGGGCTCTTGGCATTAGTGGATTTGGGATTTAGACTTCGCGGATATAGTGATTTAAGGAGTTAACGTTTAGTGGCTGTACGTCATTATTCATTGTGCAAGTAGGTAGGTTTTAGCATCTCATCAAGGCAAAATTGGTTGCGCCCGTGGTTAGCCTGGGCTTGGTTTAGGGTTAGGTCACCCAGATAGCCCAATACCCTTCAATTGAAGGAGCATCACATTGTATAAGGATCAGTCCAACTATAGCTTAAGGCAGGTAGCTACCGCATGAAGGTGTAAGTAAAGCCCAAAGCTCAGACGAGTTCTTTCTCCCGATGCTTTGGCTCAGGCAGCTGTCTGTATGACTCGTAGGAGAACTGGGTGATGTGTGGATCCCATACTCCCCTGTGATCTGGCAGTTTCAGAGGTTCAGGAAACCCTAACACAAAGTCTTAACACAGTAGGATCCTGAATCTGAGGAACCACATTAATTTCCTGAAGCTCCCATGCTTTCTGCAAGCGCGGCGAATTCAAAGAGGTCGTCGTAGCTAGTACTTCAGTGCTTAGGAAGTTGAGTTCACGCTTTAGGGGTTTAGGGTCTTGGGAGTTTGGGATTCAGGGATTCTGGGTTAGTGACGCAGCTTGCCACAGCCATGCCTGTGCTTTCCCGCTTGGTGCCATTTGGGCCAGCCTCCAGGGATGAAAGCCGACTGTTGATGAAGGCTCTTGCTGGATGGGCTTTAGGGCCTTTGGGTTAAGGGTTTAGGGTTGAGGGTGGGCCTTAGGGTTCTGGGTTATGGTTTAATGTGTACCCCTGATGAATCAACGCCTCTCCCCTAATATGGGCTTAGTTATCTGCATGAATGCTGATTGTGGAGGATTCGGATTGGAGGATTGAGGACGTAACTCATTCTGTATCCCTTCACCCTAAACCCTAAACCCTAAACCCTAAACTTCACCGCTTTGGGCTTCTATGGCCCTGACATAACTCGTTTCAGCAGCTCGGTGATCTACTTAGCGATAATGGAACCCCAAGGCCAAGTCATTTCTTTTGATCAAATGGTAAAGTACAAAGGCATACTTGAGGTCATACTAGTGTATATTCTAGTAATTTTATATATGTGTATTTACAGTATAAGACAATATGATGTAGCATATGGCCATCATATAACTGGCGAGGGTGGCTACAATCACTGTTCAAGGGGCTCTCCATGGCTTCCGTTCTTGGAGTCTCAAGCAGCCGCAGCCTCGTTATCCTGGTATTTCCCTAGGCGCCAGCCAACAGGAAACCGAGGATCAACACAACTAGGGTTTAGGGTTTAGGGTTTAGGGTTTTGGGTTTTGGGTTTAGGGTCTAGGGTTTAGGGTAAGGACACGAATGAACGCCAAGGGACGGCACTTATCCAGGAATGTCCCCTTCGAAGGTTTCTAGCTCGTAGCACCCTGCAGCCTTCTTCATGCGCAGCCTCCACGTGAGTTGTTTGTGACTGCTTACTTAGGGGTACTTAGAAATAATATTTAAGGTTGTCACAGCAGGGATTGGTAGCATTGGCGGTGTGGACACGCCCAGGTCTTGGAACCCTTTAACTCAATTCTGAAATGCACTTAGACCAAATACAAGCATCTCCATGTTCTTGTCATTCTTCGTGAACGGGGTTGGGCGTTTAGGCAAAGGCGCTCTGAAACCTTCCTGTCATTTCCTGAGGAGGAGGAGGAGATAGTGGTGGAAGAGACGTGCCAGGCAGTCTCCGAAGGGGAGGGCCCAGGGTGCTCTCTTCAAGATCTTCGAGTGCAGATGACATGCGCCAGAATAATTTCCAATACAATGTGCTGAGTGCTTCATGGGAGTCACTGTTACCCTTTGTCGGTTCTTCAGTGGTGCTGAAATCGTCGTGGGACTCAGCTAATTGGTTTTGCCTCGGCTTCGAAGAATCCAGGGAGGGTACTGTTGATTCCCGCTGCAAGACTTAATACCCGAATGGCTTACAGAGCATCCCTCTAAAGGGAAGGAGTCGGCCTAGAAGACCCTTATGAAAAGGGTCCTCTCAGCCTCCAAAAATTCGCCATTTATTACGGCCTTCATTTCTGCTCTTTTGCAGGTTCAGGGATGTAGTATGTTGGTAGCCTTGCCCGCAGAGTCTACTACTCAGGGCCATTCTGCTTCTAATCCTACACCCTTCGTCGGTTTCACTTTGTGCTGCGCTGAAATAAATGTACGTAACAACGTGCGACTATGGAGTTAAAAAGCAAAAACGAGAAACGAAAAAGGATTCACGTCGGCTGCGATAAAGCCGTGCGGCCGTTCACTACGCTCTCTTCAACGTTTTATTGCTCCGCTTTGCTCCCTAATCTTGAATGGGCGGAGTGAAGACAAGAAGGGGTTCATTCAGCGAATTATCATAAATGGCTGCATAGCCTGAACAAATTAAACTGGGCCCGTTCTGAACGTAACGAGCAAAGCCACACGCAATTACATTGAAAGCAACGAAGCTTAATCTCGTGTTTCATTGGCCGCAAAAACCGCAATCCTAACCATTTTAGATTCCGCACTCGAGGCCTATTCTAGTAACACCCTAAACCCTAAACCATAAATTCTCCTCCGATAAATTGGACCGATACAGAGAAGATTAGCATGGCCCCT